GTCTCAACCTTAGTTCCCAGGAAGAACCAAGATGGGAGCCTCAGACCCCCAGCTTGAAACCTTTGGAATGTGTTTTGTCTTTCTGCTTATCAGATAAGGTCAGGAAAAGTACTGGAGATAGGCTACAAATACAATGACAGGCTACAGAGCTACAAATTTATGTGTAAAGCACACACAGAGAATATATAAAAGAAGGCAAGGCAAAACCAACCAATTTGGCATAAATTCAAACTGATTTTGAAGCTAACAAAAATATCCATTCAAGCCTACTCCTCTGCCCACCTCTGAAATGTCTTCCCAGTGCCAGTCTATTTTATCATCTAATGCTCATGCCTCTACTCTCCTTGCAAGCATTTCTGTGGTTTTTGGAAAACATACACTGAATAGTGGTGTCATCGATTTGTTCAAACTTGCTGACTCATTACTAATTGCACTTTGTGTGAAGTTCTTCCTTAATCGTCCTAAAAACCTTCAAGGAACATTTCATTCTTCAGCATGGCTTAGATATTTCATTTTTCTATGTGTCATCTTACTTCTTACAATGTGCCTGGTTGTCACTATAATTAGTGGTATTTTAAAGCTTATGCATGTAATTCTTGTCTGTGCAGCTCCATTCACTTTGATGAAGCTCTGCTGCTTCATATCCACTGAAGTTCTTGCCCATGGCTGAGATTTTAGGTATACATTTTAAGAGAAAATTAAGAGAAAGCTAGGTTAGGTTTATCCTTGCTTTATCCTTGGTTGCTGGCCCATGATGCATTATAAATACTCTGCCTTGCCAGGAACGAAAAGACTCAATTGGTGCACGTCTGTACTCTGATATGGCACCAAACACAATCATAGACAGAATTTCAAAAGCAAAACCAAAAACCTGAACCAAAAAAAACAACAAAAAATGAGCCTTGGCATCTGAAACAGATTTCCAACATCCTCTCCTGGCTCCCCATGCTTCCCTTGGGCTGTCTGAGAAATAACAGATGCAAATGGGCTACATTTGAAAGCACAGCATTTCCTCCACAGCTGATGTAGTGTGAAAATCTATCTGAAGCCCAGCAGACATACCCATAAGCAAGTCACCTCTGAGCTTTGCCAGTAATGATACATTTCACCATACTGTACCATAAAGAGAAAACCAGACAATCACCTACTGGCTGCATCACAGAGCAGAGAAGCCATCATTTCTCCCCACTGCAGAATACCAATTAAAATATGTTTCAAGCCACCTATTCCTAGCTGAATGCAGTGCAGAGTTAGCATTCTCTTCACACACCACACTCACACAACCCCCCATCAGGTGGAATGATTTCTCCCCTTTTCTTTGTTCCTGTGGCTGGCAAGTCAGAGCTGAAGGAAAATCAGTCTGCTGTCTGATGAGCTTTTGATAAAATTCCAGGCTGAAGCACAACACTTCTTGATTTATTTAGCATTTAAACATCCCCAAGGGCTTCTTCAGTTTTGCACCCCAGCCTCTGGCAGTTTCAGAGCGCAGCTTTCTCTAGAACAGCTCGAAGTAAAGACAAGACTTTGTGCCAGGTTCAAATATACCACTGGTAAAAGGATAGCCTGTCTCCAAATGACACTTTTGGGCTGCCTATCTGTGTTCCTCCAGTGATTTGCATGTTATGTTTATGGACTTAACTTGCCAAGATATATGCTGGGTTTTTCTCTGCTTGTTTTTCCTGTGGCTATTGCTATCAGCACTTCCAGTTCAGGTTATAAAGAAGCTTTCTGTTTGTTTCATGTATCATCACTAAATGCAAATAGCAGATAACAGCTCATTTCAGCCAGGGTAATATTGCTACCAGACATTAAAGAACTGAGCAGACACAAGGAAATGAAATTAGCTTTCATGTGCTGCTCTCACAGACCCTATAAAACTCAACTGTAGAAACTGGAAAAGAATTATCCTAAAACCTCATGTCTAGACTGAGCAACTATAGCATAAAGGAGACATAAAGGAAAAATTTAGTGAGCTCCTCTTTGCCCAATCCACAGCTCAGTGGCTACATAGCACTGGAACTAAGAAATGCTTTAGCTTCAGTGATGTTTTGTTCACCCAGCAGATTTCCCTTGTAATGCCCACAGCAGTGAAATGCCATCCTGTGCCACGCTGTGCCATTCTTCACTGCTCAGCAAGGACTCTGAGCAGTTTTTTAGAGCTGCTAAGGAAATTTAGCTCTTTAGGCATGGTGTCTACAAAGAAATACAGTTTGCTGTGGCCCCCTGGTTCTTGTATAATTGTTACAGTCCAGAGAAAGTAACAGAGAGGAGGAGGACAGGGTACCATGGTGCTGGTTTTGGGCCCTGAGTCCAAGAGCTGGGCCTGCATGAGGAATGCTAACCCAGAAGCACAGTCTGAATTTGTGTTGCTGGGGTCCCTGCACACCATGACCATCTGCACATGATATATCAAACAAAGTGGAGCTCCCATGCAAAACAATCACACCTGTCAAAGTAAAGGCAGAAGTACCTCTGGTAAGGCATTACCTTTATGAGTAACTGGTTACTGTCCAAATCCTGGAAAGTACTGAATGTGTTAATTTACCATGAAAACAGGATCAACACCTTAGAGGTATCTTACTGTTTAAAACATGAGCTTGTTCTTTTTCTCTGGAAGACCTACAGCAGGCACAGGGCTGCAATGGTAAGTTTTGATCCAATTTATTATTTCTTTCTGACACGGCATTAGGCAAACTTCATTGTCCTGTAAGTTCCACAATCAAGTCCAATACTAATACACACACATATATAAGTTTCTGATCTGGAAACACTGTACAAGCCAGATTACTGGAATGTCCTGTTTTCAGGACAACCAAATGGGGAGCATGTTATTCACCCTGATGTCCTGCCCCTGGAGGCAGCTGAGAAATGAACCTTTCATAAAGCACTCACATTGCTGTTGCTGTAACTCAGGAAATAAAAGGGAGCTGGAGGCTCTTGGTGTTTTTGCCATAGGGCTCTGTCTAGAATCAATATGAAATACACAGGTACTCATTAGGAAAAAATACATCAACATAATTGTTTACACCCACAAGACTGAACTGTCCACATTTTCAGCATAAATGTTGGTAAGCTGTATTCTTTTTCCTCTTTCTGCCTCTTTGTTGCTGAATCACATAGAATATCTATCAGGTTACTCTGGGTTTTATATCTTAAACCTTAACAGGATGGATGGCTTCCCAGTGTAAGCTGGAACAATTCTTCCAAATGGAAAGAAAAACAAATTGCTTGGGCATAATTTTGGCTTTTAATGCCATCTGTGTTAGCATTTCTGCATTGCTCAAAAATGAGGGAAGACTATTCCAGCTCTGGCTTTGGCTCTGCTTGGTAGAGTATTAAGCAGAGACTCTGAAGAGGAAGGTATAAGCACCATATCCCAGTAAGATTTATGGTACTTCCTATCTGAGTTTCCCTCAGTCTCCAAAAGTTTCTGCTTAGCATGAAAGCCTACATTTTTACTGCCCCTTCAAAAAGTTGGTGAGTTCTGTCTGTAATAATGGGATTCAGCAAGGCAAAGTGCAAGGTCCTTCATGTGGGTGAAGGTAATCCCAAGCACAAATACAGGCAGAACAGAGCATGGACTGAGAGCAGCCTTGCCGAGAAGGCTTTGGGGGTGCTGGTGGATGAGAACTGGACAAGAGCTGGCTGTGTGCACCTGCATCCCTGAAACCAACCATGTCCTGGACTGCATCCAAAGAATCCAAAGATCCTCAGGGTGAGAAGAGGATTCTTTCTGCCCCTCTGCTCTCCTGACACTTCCCCTGGAGTACTGCATCCCCAGTATAGGAAGGATGTGGACCTGCTGGAACAAGTCCAGAGGAGGGCTGTGAAGATGCTCAGAGAGCACCTCTGCTACCAAGACAGACTGAGAGAGTTGATATTGTTCTGCCTGGAGTAGAGAAAGCTCTGGGAAGCCCTTAGAACCACTTCCAGTGCCTAAAGGGGCTCCAAGAGAGCTGGAAAGGGACTTTGGACAGGGGCCAGGAGTCACAGCACAAGGAGGAATGGATTCAAGTCGTCAGAGGGTAGGCTTCAATAGAATGTTGGGAAGAAATTCTTGATTGTGAGGGTGGTGAGGTGCTGGCACAGATTGTCCAGAGAAATGGCTGATGCTCCATCCCTGGAAGTGTTCAAGGCCACATGGGAATGAACTAGAATTAGATGATCTTTAGGATCATGTCCAACCCAAAGCATTCTGAGATCCTTTGATTTTGCCTACCTTGGTCTTTAGCTGAAAGCAATGCTTATGAAAATGTGTTCCATTGCATAACTGCAAGGTATGAAATTACCTCTTTTTTTCAGGGCTTAATCACATCAGGATGTCACTGAATTCTTGTTCTTTCAGTGAGAACAGAAAATCCTGATGTGCCTTAAGACACATTCTTATGTTTACACTTATATGCATCCTCCAGTTTATACAGTTTAAGCTCTGTTCCTGCTTATTTGAACTCAGGAGCAAGAAAATCAGTTAAGTCTAATATATCTGTCCCCTTCCCCCATCTTTACTGTGGGGTGCATTTACCAGGTTGGAGGCTGCAACCATAATTAATTTCACCCAACACAATGCATGTCATACAAATGGCACAGGAAAAGGCAATGTGCTGTGTAATCCTGCTAGCATAGATGTGGATTGATTTTCAACTTGAATTAAACAAACCTCTTATTTGTTTTTACTGATAAAGACTGAGTAAGCAGAACTGCTGAGACTCAGGCAGAAACGTATCTATGGCATGAAGTGCAAAGTCCTGTTTGAATTTTTTTAATGGATCTCAGATAGGCACTGTTAGTTTCCATGTGGCAAGGTAAGTTTTTGAAGATTGTCCTTCTTCTTTGCCATTTAACATGACTTAAACAGACAAGGGACTTGGAGAACAGAAGAAGCCTTCTAAAAGTTGCCTTGTAAAAGGCAACTCAAAATGTCTCCTGTGCCATGCCTATCACAAAGGTGCACAGAGAAGAGTAAATAACATATGGATGAACACAAAGAGTAGAATCCTTACCTGCCCTCCTTTAGGCTGGTATTTGATATTATCTGTTGACCCAATTTTGGACCTGACATTCTTGAGGTCAGGTAGAGGCTGATTAATAACTCGTAGCTGCTTTGGAGTGGCTGGAGATTTAGGAGGAGTGCGAATTATGGCAACTTTTTTCTCAGTAGGTACCAGTATTGCAGATTTGGGAGTCCCAGGAGTGTGGGGAGTTCTGGAGTAACTGGGTGTCCCTGGAGTGCCTGGGGTACGGGAGGCATAGCTTGGTGGTGTCCCTGGAGTGATGGCAGTGGAACCAGGAGTAGTGGGGGTAGAAGTTCCACTTTTTCCCGTTCTGCTACGAATTGGCTCTGATCCTACATTCAGGAAAAAAAAACAACAGCTTTAGAGGCACAGAAGTACAGCTCTTCTTCCCTTTGTACTCCCAAAACTGCATCTCTATATGCCAAGTGAGACACAGCTCTTGAGATGGCAGTGCTACTGCCAAAACAGCAGCTTGAACGGGTCTCCCTGTGTCTTACTTTGCTAATCAACCTGCCAGCAACTACCTTGCCATGAGGGGTTAAGTTAATGCCCCCAGAGTGACTGAGCTCTCCATTCTGTAACACAGGAATGCTTCCCACAATACTTCTGCTTCCTGCAAAGCTGGCTAAACAAGGCACATCATCACATTTATTTCCATTTTGGGGAAAGGATGAGAAGCATCCTTGGAATCCAGCCTTTGGGACTTGATACAACCAATTGCAGTGGACCTGGGCAATAAACAAGAAAGCAGTAAAAAATCTGATGATATTCCTGTAATGAAAAGCTGTGAGTGCCTGGCTGGTGCTGTTTCTCATACCACTGCTGGTAAGCTGCAGATGAACCCCAGGTGGGAATTCAACTGGTGAACAAGCTTTAGCTGTGTTGTGTGGATGGGTACATGTCCTCATATTCAATTGCTACTTTTCATTAGTGCTGTGAAAGAAAGCCATTATCAGAGGCAACCTTGATAAAAATTCATATTCTACTTACATTTGCATGCAAGTAAAAAAAAACCCAACTATATAGTTTTGTAGTGGCTCCATTCGATGTTTATGACATTGCCAGTCCTTTTCACTGAGCACAAGGATCAGCTTAGCTGTGCTTTCTGCATCCAGCTCTGCTCATAACTCTCAAACATAAATAAACAGAAGCTGAGATACCTCCAAAGTAAGATTTTGCTGAGAATACTTATGGAGAGAAAGATCAAAATAACTCTCAAGACCTGGGAACCCCAATGCCAAATGGGCACGTGTGTTTTCACTCTTCAAAAGTTCAGAAATTATAAATCCAATGGACCCCTCAAAAGCATCCAGTGAGACTAAACAAATTCTTATTTAAAGTATTTGCTAATCATTCTGTTTATGCAATGATGGTGGCCCAAACCCAATGCACTCCTGTCCCTGGAGCTCAGGAGACACTCTTTGCTCTACATGATTCATTAGGCAGACTGAACATACTCCACTCACCTCCAATTTCTTTCCAAACCAACCCTAAAGTTTCTCACTATACCATCTGAGACAGAAAGGGAATTATTTTTTTCCCCACCTCCTTGCAGGTCTAGTATATTTATTTTTCATTCCTCAGCCCTTCACCACACTGCTGAATTCTTAATGGGCTCACACTCCTGGTCAGAATGGGCTGGCTGCTGTGGCAGCTGGAGGTCACTCTGCTTTCAAAGGGCCTCTGTTTTACCTTTGGAGCATCATTTATGCATTTCAAAGGACATTTTTTGCAGAATTTAATCACCTCCTTCCCTTAAGCTGTCCTAAAAAGGGCTGAGACTGGTTTCCAAAGAAAGAAGACAGAGGAACTCCTATTGGAAAGCAGGAAGCCACATGTGGGTTCTAAGGCCTGGCTAAAAGTTCTGGGGTTATTTAGTAGATTGTCTTTGTCCTGTGATTTATTTTGGCTTATGATTTGATAACTTTGGTCCTCATAAAAGGAACCTAGCTGGTTCACTGTCTTAACTGCCCCAAGTGAGTCACTCTGCCAGTTAACATCTCAATTCTCAGCAGAGATTTTACCCTAGCATACCCAGCATAGGGAGATAATTACTGGGAAACAGCAAATTAATGACTGTAACTATCAGGTTCACTTTTCCAAGACCCACCAGAATATTTCAGGTTGTCTACTTCAGTTTTGACTTACTATTTCTTGCTCCTATTTATAAATGCTTTATCTTAAATACCTCACCCAGCTCTGAACTCCCTGCAAAGGCATTTTCTAATATCAGCAATTAGTCTGGGCAGAAGTCATCGCTCTGGGCACTGCAGGTGCATCCTGTCCCTGGTTTCAGGCACTTGGCATATGAACAGAACCAGTCTGTAGGTTGTAATTTCCAACAGCACTCCCCAGAGCTACTCCTCTGTCTCAAAGGCAGGGACATGTGGTGCTAGGCAATGTGACAATGAGGGTGGAGACAACCACAGAAGTAGAAGGTTAACATGCAGAAAAAAACGACAACATACGGGTAGTCCGTCGTACTGAAGAGGAGAGAGAAGTTGTGAGGGAGAGGGAGTTCTCCTCTCTGTCTCGGTCTCCTGATACACCTCGTCGAGGAGGAAGGATGGAGGAAGGTCTTGGTAGAGATGAACGCTTCTCGGGGCTCTTGCTTACTCCATCCTAATAGCAGCACAATAACAAAGGAAGGTTTAGTTTTCAAAACTCACTCTTTGGGCTATGACCTCCTGTATCTACACACAGAGGGGGAAATCTAATCCTATGGGCCCAGTTTGCTCCTCACACAGGAACCTGAGGGGTTCAGTCACCCTACGTGCTCTGCTTTAGCTCCCTGGTGCTTCTTTACTGCACCAAAACGTCTTCTGATGCCTGTCCCAAGACATAGAGGGATATTATTGGATCTAAATATGGATGGATCCCACAGTTGGCTCTTCATAAGGAAAAAGGTGGGGTTTTTAAGTGCAAGCTGAAAGTAAAACAACTCTCTAGAGCTCAAGTGCGAAACTCCTATGTGAATTTACCTGCAAAGTAAGTGCACTACTGGTGTCCAGAATACACCATACATTAGATTGGTAGGTGTTGTGTGATTTTTGCATATTCAAACACTACCTTGTAAATTTCTTAGGGAGATAAAATTTTAGCTACAAGCTTTGCTGGCTTTTTCTGTTGCTATTTTTTTTTTCCCTGAGTGTAGGATTATAAATCCTGTTGTTTAAATTCTATCTATAATAAAATGTTTACTTTTTGAAATCAGTGCATACCTTCCCTTTATCAGGGTAAAGTAAACCCCTCTTTACCATTAAGGCAGCAGACATGTATGTTAGAATATTTTTGAGCTTATGGGATGTGCAGCCAAAGACAAACCAGCATAAGCAGACATTCTGCCCTAAGACAAATGATGATGGTCCCAACCAATAAAAGACACTCCAAGTATGGCATTAAACAAAAAATATAAGTCAATGGCAAAACCAATATTTACATGGGGATAGTTAACTCACCATAATGTAGATTTGAAACACAAGTGAAATGCAAACACAGAGAAGCTGGAATGGACTGCCAAACTTCTTTTTAAATTTATACTGCAACTTCTTCAAAAAATCCTATGCACTGACTTAAAATTTGGTTCCTTGAGCATTTGGATTCTGCCCTATTCTATCACCTACTGCTGGTAATTAGAATTGTACCCTCCTACGCTGGAGACTGAATTTGATTTTGAAGTGAATATTAACAGGTCAAAAATTACATTTTTTTAAACTTGGATGGCAAATTAGTCCTGCTGCTCTTTACCACCTACCCACTTGCAAATGGCTGCAACTTCTCGGCAGTTAATGAAGTAGCATCCGTATGATCAACAGAAAGAAGACATGTCTTACTAGTTATAACTTATTTCACTTACATTTCCTCTGGAGTACCTCCATTTTTATCCATTTTGTAGCAGAGATCTTGTAGCCTGCTAATCAGTTTTCCTGCCACTGGCTGTAAGTAATCCCACAGGAGCTTCGCAGAGAACGACTCAAATTCAGTGGGTAGATAATGTGTTTCCTGGAGTTCACCTGTGCATCTCTAACTCTCTTTACCAACTCTGCTACCTTACCTTAGCATCTGATTTTGAGTCTCTTGGGCCTGCAGAAGAGGGCCGAACAAAATAACTGTCTGTATCGAGAAATGTGGCCCTTTTAGTGGTTAATGAGCAAGCTGAGCTGGGTCTTGGAGGAAGCAATGACTTTGCTCTAGACTTTGAGGCAGGAATCTTTGACAAAGAGGCAGTCTAGTCATGAGAAAACAAACAAAACACAACATGAAGCTGGACAAAAGGAAAATACATGCAACATGGACCAAAAAAAAAATATGCCAATCTATGAATTAATACTTTTCCTGTGTCTGGTAATGGTCTATGCAGATCTGACAATCATGGAAGTTTCAGTTTTGTGTTGTTTGGCTGAAATCACATAGGTCTGGACAGAATTATCTATTCTAGGAATCTGCCTTTTTCTGCAGATGCTATTTTGGTCTTATTAGGAAAAAACTGGGGCCAGGTGTGGCATTTAACTGGTACAACTGCTGGCTGGCTGCACTAGAAACAAGTGCAAAGCTACAGAAGCACCAAGAAATTCCAGCCCTTTAAAGCTGAAATATATCCATCCAGGCTAAAATCAGGAATAAAACAGTGGGAATCCTAGAAGCAAAGTTACACCAGTATTCCCACAACAGTGGGAGGGCAAGACAGTATTCCTTCTTTTGCCACTGTGTACAGACAAAATCCCTAACACACGCCAGATATTGCTCTGTGCATTTGGTGTCACTCCACAGAAATGAATAAATTTATATTGGCAGTATGGAGTCCTGGCATGAGGAAAGCTATATATGGTTGAAAGGCTGACATGGTATATTACTGTGAACAAATACTTGTTTGATACCAAATAATGACAATATCCCATTCAAAGAACAATTAAACACCAACAGGACAGACAGGAAATCTTTGTTTATACTTAGGAGCCTTTCTGCTTTACAAAAAGGAATCTCCTTGAAACAGAATGGGGCCACTTTGTTTCTTCCATAGGTATAACTGGTATTACAAAGAACAATTGCAAAGGTGTTACCTTTCTTGTCCTGATCCTCTCTGTAGTCATAATAGCACGAAATTACACATAGGAACAATCCCAGTGGGCCTGTCATTCTGGGATTTCTACTGAACTTTAGCATTGAACTTGGAATTTGAGCTCAATCAATCCCCTAGACTTTCCCAATGTTCAGAAAAGGTACATGAGTTGATTTTAAGTTGTCTTGTTAGAAAATGAGAAATAAGAATGGGCTTCCCACTCTGACAGGCCTCTGGCTTAGGCTATATACTCAGCCTATGGAAAACTGAGGCTGGTGTGCTGAATGTCATCCATGACATCACCCACATGATTAAGAGTTGCAGAACTGTGTAACAAGCAATTCCAGTCCTGCAATACAGCTGAGAGGAGTTCTGTTGGATGTCATTCTCCAGACTACGCAGCAAGACAAGAAATTGGGATGGAAGTGCTTTACTAGCAAGAATATATTCCCATAATGCGTTTTGCCTCTTTTTTAATTCTTATTTTACTGTCTGAGAACAAACAGAAGTAAACCAGTGAAAAATTATTTTACACAGAAACTACAGAATATGTTTCTGTCAAATCAAAGGCTTTTCCAGACTTTGATTGGTTTGTCATAATTAAAATTATGGGTCTCATCCATTTGTGAAACTTTGGATCTTGTTTGGAAATCCGTGAAGGTATTTATTGATGCTGAAACTTTATAGAAGCAGAGTATCTATGTTGGGTGGCCCCAAGAAACAGACATTCTGCAAGCTCCTTTCTAAGCACATATTGTTTGAGGCTCAAATCGTCATTCTGCGGTTTTCACTATTTTCAACTTGCATGCATGAAATTACCCCTATAATGAGACTGAAAAACTCTTACAGATTAAGGTTCTAGTCACAGACACAGACTTTTCACTTATATTGCTCAGTGTCCTCTGTGAACACATGAATCTAATGTGGATGCTAAAGATGGACAATGCTGAGATCTGTCAGTGGAACAGATGGGGAAAAGGCATAGCCTTGAGCTTCTGCACAGCTCTGGTTATCACAGTCTAGAGTCCCTCCATGTTATTTAGGTAACAAAGCACTTTTTAGCATCAGTAATAGAAGCAGAATCTGCCCAAAGCTGGTTAAGCAAGGAAAAAAAAACAGTCTCACTCCCTACAGGAAAACTCAGTCTCTGATAGCAATACATCACCTCTGACCTCTGTTTTAATTTATGTTGCCGGAAGGGTCAGCAGAGGACAAAGGTCTATGTAATTCTCACTGAAACTCAGGGATTGCTGAAGTGGGGATGCAGAACCCTCATTTTATTTCAAGGTGTTCCAGGTTTTCATCACCTCACTGAACTGCAGGTACACAGCTGCTTCCAGCAGATGGAACTGTTTAGCTTTTCCTGAACTTGTCCCATGTAAACGGCAGTCTGAACATGGATAACAAAACTGACCAGGCTGGATGATCTAACATTACCAGTGGGGAGGAAAAGGATGTACTTGAAAGACATAAAAGCTGAAAACCACAAAGAAAGTAAATGAGGAGAGATCTTTATAAAAGCAGAGGCAAAGTCAAGGCACAGAAGAGAAAATGTCCAAGAGGTGCGTGAGTGTGGCAACCAGAAAGGCAAGGCAAGAGGGAGAGAAAGTAAGCAGGGGACAGCTTTCTGATCTGTGCTATAACATAAGGGGCAGGAACAGGAAAGGTACACAGAAAGATAATTTCACAGAATGATTTTGCAGTGCTTGTACTAGAGCACTCCATAAACACTGAAAATGGGTAAGTACTGGCTTCTCTTGTGCAAGTGTTGATGGTCTGCCAAGAAAAGACAGTAATAAAACATGCTCAGACTCAGCCCAGAAACCTGGCCAGATCTTATTCACTGTACTTTTAAAGAAGCTCTAACAGTTTCCCAGCTATGAGCTGGAATAGGTCAGACCTGAAAAACCATGGTTCTACAAAGCCTCCAATCAGTTGTGCTGTTCTCAGCACTACCAGTTTCTTATGATTCATAAACAATGTGTAGCACTTCATGTGACACAGCTTTTTGCTCCCCAAAGAATTGAGAGTCTGGTTCAACAAGTGAAAGAAATCACCCCTGGAATATACTAGGAAATGTATTAGGAAATTTAGAGAAATTCCATTGAAGTTCTTAATTGTTAATGATGGAGGTTGGTCCTGCTCAGGGCCAGGAGTTGGACTCAATGATCCTGATGCGTCCCTTCCAACTCAGCATATTCCATGATTCTATGATAACAATGACACAGTGTTGTGCTGCAGATGTGGATTAGTATGTGTCACTATCATGGAAAAAATAAATGCATAGGGGAGAGTGAATGGAGGTTGGTTTCCTGGGGATTTTGGAGCGATGGGACAGAAACAGTGCAGTGTCACCAGGGAGCAAGGGAGTCTTTCCTTAAGAGAGCCAGACACAGGAAGCAAGAAAGTCTGTAGGGCAGCTGAAGGCAAGGCAAAGCAAGGTTGCAAACTGACAGATTATAACACAGACATTGGCTCAGGAAGTGGCCATACTGAAAGCACTGAATCATATGTACATTCTCCTGGCCAGCAACTTCTACACAGGCACGGCCCCTGCAGAACACTGGGCTGTGAAATGGCTCACCAGGAGATACCCAGGTCCTGGGGGAGGGCTTCTGCCTACACAGAACTTGAGTCATTGCACTGGCAATGCAAGCTGGGTGCTGCAGGAAGGGCCAAGATACACAGCTTATCCCACAGAACAGCCTGGCTCAAAATGCTGAGCAGACTTCAAGTCCTGCAGTTCAGAGTCTGTGTGCCCTCTGTGGATCTGCAAACTGTCACCATCTACCACTTGAGACTAGGCTTCAAAGGTTATTCAGGAAAGGTGGTTTTAATTATCCTTTTAAATGAATAATGAATATGGAGAACAAATTTTAAATGGAACACACACTGAATTAACACAAAAAGAGGTGAAAAAAGGGCAAAAGGAGATTATAAAGATGAACAATAAGATTATTTTACTCACTGAGAGTTTTTCCTTTGCTTGTTTAAATACAGCAGGAGCCTGGTTTGTTTCACCACCTGCTGCTGAGAAATCCAAAGAAAGACTTGATAGTTAAAGACAGTAATAATAAGCATTTCCATTTAGTACACTTAGATCAATTAAATGCCTTGAAACTACTGTGCAAAGTAAGTACTTTGTGAATTACCCTCAGCAAACTGTATGCAGACATTTACATGCCTTGAAAATTTTCTGAATTCATCTTACTTGAGGTAAAATGGTATTCTATGTGTTTCAAACAAAATGAAATTTTGTATTCATGTTCCTAAAAGTCTATAAACTAAAAGAAAAAAGTTCCAGAAATAGCTGAAAAATATAAAAGTTTCTGGTCAATCCTCAGACAACTTAGCATCCTGATTTTCAGGACTGTCCTCTAAAAATCAGGCTCCTTTAAATCATCCACAAATTAAAATTTTAAGAGAGGCCTCTATAGTCACCACTTTCAAAATATTAGCCAACATTCATAATGGAAAGAGAGAGATGCACTGATGAATTATCATCCTAGTTGTGTCAGCAGGGTCAGTGTGTCATGGTTAGCTAAACTCTCTAGAATTTAAAAATTCAAAGTTCATCTGGGACATCAAGAATGTTAATTCAGTATTTTATTTATATGATACAACATGGTTTGAGATAGGATCTTTCTCTTGGCCTTTGAATCCATCCACACTGGTTTTTGAACAGGGCAGATTTTTGGAAAGCAGGTTATTAGCTTCACCCCAACACTGCTACTTAGGAAGGGATGTGCCACTTAACAACTAGACATGAAATCTTCTGGCACCTGTGCCAGGATGCCCTTGGTAAAGGCAGAAGTAGGACAGCAATCATAAATTATGACCTTCTGCTATACACCCAATTGTTTTCCAACCTTAAACCCAACCCTAATTCCTCAGACAGGAAAGGTCAGGTTAATTTTTCCCTTTTCTAATGCAGGTCCCAGGTGTGGTGAGGTTATCCCTGGTTTTCTGTCACACTACCCACTCTAGTCCAAGGTGTAGGAGAGAGAATTTGTGAGGAGGAAAAGAATATGTAACTGCATACTTCAGTTCTTCTGAATTTTTAAGAGAGGTAAGTGCAGCAGAGCCTTCCCATGTCACACTTTACCACAGCTATTACTGCTGCTTTGGGTCTTGTTTCCATCTCTTCTAGAAAACCACAAACAGCTTCTTTTCTCCTTCCCTTGGCATTCAACCCTAACCAGTCACAAGTGGAAAAAAAGCTGTGTCACTTGTGCCGATATGCCTGGTAACAACCACAACTTCTCCATCTGAACACAAGATTTCTACAGGTCCTGCTGTTGGCTTAAATACATAACAAACATGTTTCAATTCTGAGGTCACCAGAGGGTGACCTCTGAATTGAAAACAAGAAATATCATAGCCAGGTCATTGTCCTGGCCTTGCCTCCAAAAACACTCCTCTGATAACACAACTGCAGTAGCAAATCACAGCCACCCACAAAATCCAGGCCAGGCTGGGGGTTTCTACTCATGGAGCTACATTAGTCAAGGCAAAGACTTCCCAACTCTCTCATCAAGGTTGGCCATGACATTTCTTTTTCAAATGGCAAGGACAAGTCTCTCAAAAAACTGTCCCTGCCTCGTGGATATGGTGTTGTGAGTTACTGGTATTTGCCAGTGCTTACCAGTGACATGGGAATTGTTTTCAGGTATTGAGGGGCATTAGGGCAAAGATGTACTGTTCTGGGCCATTGTGCAAAACATAAAAGAAAATATTAACTTCTTTTGGTAGATATCTGTATCTTATGACTGGACATGTTTCACTTTGAAGTCATGGTAAATGCAGTGTGGAGCTTTTAACTGACTGCAACACACTCAAAGCTCTGTGGACTACACTGCCAAGAACTTTTGTGGGGCTCTGTTACCTAGGCATTAGTAAAGCTGAAATGACCACTTCAAACAGGATGCATTGACAGTCAAAACTGGCTTCAGGAAATGGTGCTGGATTTTATTTGAAAATGGGAGAGAGACAATGTCCCTCTAGATTCCATGTCCTGGAGAAACCTGGATGACACATTCAAGCTCAGGGATATGTAAGGTAACATATGACCACCTGCACTCTTAGAGTATCACATAGTGTTGCAGTCTTTCTCATGGTCTCCCCCCAAGTCCCATCAGGAAGTATAAAAATGGGAGGTAGAAGAAAATAAGACATACTGTAATTTTTGCAGCAACAGTGAGTGTGCTGAAACATTCTGCAAAATATATTTGATCATTTTCTGTCATAGTTTCAGCTCCTCTGCTTTAGAGCTCAAAGTTCAAGCCACATTTCTGAAAGTTTTATGATGAATCTGGGTCCATCATTTTGGTTGCTGTCCACCTGAGGACTTAAATAAAGGAGGACTTAAGTAAGGGGGATCATTTTTGTATTATATTTCTCACTTTGATTAATACATCTGCTTCACTGTGTATTGCAGTGAGAGAGAAAAACCTCTGAGATGTTTCAGGCACATGTTTCAGGTACAGGGCAAATTTCCTTATCCAAATCCATTGGTATGACTCAGTTCTCTTTGGGATTCTGTGGGTCAGAACAGTTCAGAGGAGGTAGTGGCAGAGCACCTGAGGGTGTGACAGCACTGACCACGCAGCTGTAGAAGTGTAGAAGAAGTTGAGAACACTACAAAGCCAATGCTTTCCCCCCACCCATGTCCACATCTTATTGAACCCCCTGGGGCTTTCAAAAAAACATGTGAATTATGAGTTGTAACTTCTAAGCTATCAAGCTGTGCTTTGGCAAGCAGCAAGAGATAGCAAGGAGAAATGTTTTAACTGGTTTTTAAAATTCTGCCCTCTTGGGTAGTTCTGATCCATAGTGCAAGTTAGAACAGCCCAGAGATTGCAAACTGAGAAGGAGCCATCAGTGCAACACAGAGGGGACTGAACCAGCCTTTTCTTTCCTGGTTCCATTACTCCTGAGAGGGGGAAGTGAAAGGATGAGATCCTGTCATGGGAGCGAGGTGATGGGATCATTAGTTCCGCTGTCCTAAAGGAACACAGCCAGGATACAATCTGCACTTCATACAGCAGAGGCACAGTTCTAAACCTGTTCTAATCCTCTGACTGCATTTTCACTGGTCACACCTCCCTGCTGGGGCTGCCCTGAATTTACAACAGCAGTGACTGGTGCAAAACTGCAGGGGAATGACTGCCTAGGGACACTTTTAGTATTGCTTTGCTTATCAATATGATGGGTAACGAATCTTCCTCTTAATTTCTAAGCTGTGAGAAGATGCCTGTGCATTTCTGCATAGCTGTTCATCATTCTCCTCTTATTAGCCCTAGTTCCAAACAACCACAGCATGTGGCTGCGTTACTCAACAGAAAACCTGGCCTCTTTCAGTAATTTTTTTTAAGATCACAATGAAAGTCAAGATGTTCATCCTTCCACTTTGAACTCACAGGAACCATGAATAATATGTGAAAATGCTGGAAGAGTTATTTTGGTCCTCTAAATAATGATACACCTATGGAGTCGTAACAGGTATAATTTCTTTCTTCCTTTCATCTTCCTCTATCAAATATTAAGATTTTTGCTTGGAATGCATTTCGCAGTGTGAGCCCAGATTTCTTCTCTCTCAGCTCCATGCTGCATGTGGCTGGATTCTCCCTGTGGATTTTGACTGTACAGCATAAACATCAGTGACAGATTGGGAATTATCAGTGCAGATAACATCAATAAACAATATGTAAGTCTGAAACACTTCTTATTATGCATGAGAGTAAAAAAGCAGAATAATGGAAATGCATACCATGGTTTAAGTTGCCAACATTTTCCCACCAGAAAATAAAATAAAGCATAATTTTTTAAAGAAAAAATAAAAATAAACAAAAAAGATGAGTAGAGATTCCTAGAACACCACACTCTAAGCACGATGCCAAGTTACAACCACAGCACTTGGAGGCCCAAGCAATGACAAGCATACATGATCATGGTCTCCATCAAACAACAAACAAATACCAGGAAAGAAAGAATAAAAGAAAAATGGTACAAAACACTAAAATAGCAATACTATTTGTGAAGATTGATACTCTTGGAGGAAAAAAAAAAAAACAGAGAAGCTGCTAGAGCTATGAGATTTACAAAAGAAAATGTCTATGTTTGCCAGCCACATTGCATAACTGAACAGAACGCAGTCACCTGTCTGCTTCCGTTTAACACAGGAGAGATGAGTTGGTCTAGTATATTTGATAGCAGGTTTTAAAATTATTTTCCTGGAGGGAGAGTGGGCCTGAACTTCAGTTTTTTTAGCAAGTTCAGCTTTCTTATACACTGCTATGGACAAAAAGAACACAAAAACATAGAATCAGAAAAAAAAACAAGCAAACCATTTCATATGATCAATACATCAAGTGTCAAGCCCACTGTTCCACAACTCCAACCCAATGCATTGCTTCTTCTGAGGGGAACAAATCCTGTGCTGGAAGAGGGACAGCACTGGTTTGCATTGGCTCAGATGCATTACCCAGTGATCAGTGGGGATGTCTACAATGAAATAGGACCAGTGGAGCAGTGAGCCTTGGACATGGCTTCTCACATAATTGTACAATATCTCATTAAAGAACTCTACCGTTAATAATGTCATGGTGCACATAATCTACAACAGAGTAACCAGATAGTATTGTAAAATAGTAAGAAAATAAAAAAAAAATTGTAATAGGAGTGTGAAATGAACCTTTTTTCCTTCTCACTTCATCTCTGGAGAGTGTGCTAGGTTCCTTTTTAGCTATTTTCCTTTCAGGAGTAGAAATCCTGCCTCTCCCAGTTTTAAAAGGTTTCTCTTTTTTATGCTTATCAAGAGATGATCTTCGCAATTCTCTCTCTGCTTTCTCCTCTTTAGGAACAGTCTCTAACTGTTCAGTCATGATGCTCCTATCATCATCTGTAGGATCAGAGCAAATTACAACAACAAACAAAAGATTAGCAACAAATGTTAACAATACTTCAGAGGAGCAGGGAAAAAATAGTTGAAGATAAAGCAGATGATTAATTTTTAAAAAAGAAAACTATTT